AGGAGCCGGAGACGCAACCCCACCTGGCTGGAATCTGCAGGGACTGTGGAGAAGGACGTGCAGGTGCTGATGGGGAGGGAGCTCTGGGAGGCAGCAAAGGCGAAATGGATCAGACCATCAGAAGATGCCGGCGAAGTCCCGAGCAGTGCACGCCGGATCCACACGTCAGGCCCTCAGAAAGTAGAGGAGAAGTTCCCACTTCTAAACTCCCTCGTCTTCTCTGCCTGGATCTTCGTGCTCCCTCTTTCTCCACATGCAGCCACGTGCGTGTCAGTGAGGAGGGGCAGGCACAGGGAGGGTGGCGGACGCGAGGCCTCCCAGGAGGACTGGGACTCAGGCAGGCAGCAGGGGAAACAGTCTCAGATGAGGAGGAGAGAGAAGGTATGGAGGAGGGAACACCTGGAAGCCCCCCGGGCAAAGCTTCCGGAAGGGGCATCAGGATCGCGGGGGTGCAGGGCGTGGGGACTGTCTTCTGTCCCCAGCGGGTACTTGTGCTCGGAGACCGCACGGGAGGAGCTCAGAACAATCTGATTACTTTGGGGGAACCTGAGTGTATATTTTTTAAAGCTTTCTGGAAGAAAGAATCAAGGGCCGAGCTCTGTGCCTGGGATCGCAGGGCCGTAGTGGTGATGGCGGGTTTTGTTGGTTCAGCAGCCTTTCCACTGAATACCCTCGAGTGGCCTCGGGCCCCGGGACAACTGTCAGGTGCAGAAGCTGCAGAGATGCAGCCATCCTGAGATAGAGGTGGGCAGCCCCCTGACCGGAACGGATTCTAGAACCTCGGCTGGTAGGATCTGGGACCTAGCAGGGGCTCGGGCCCAGCGTAGTCCAGCGGTCATACAGCACCAGACCCAGGCTCACCTGAATAAAACCAGGTACGGGGGCAGCAGGTGATGGCTGCCGTGTCCGCTGGGAAGCTCCTGATGACAGTGGCACTGTGACATCTGCCCCGGGCGTTCGTGCTCTTCTGCATGAGAAAGAAGCGGCCAGAGGGAAGGTGAGGCGTCAGTGTGGCTCAGACAGGTGTCCACAGTCTCTGGTTCATTGCTGGTTAGAAATCACACCGTCTGAACCATGAGAGGCGATGGACTCTGAGAAACAAACTGAGGGTTCTAGAGGGGAGGGTGGGAGGATGGGTTAGCCTGGTGATGGGTATTAAAGAGGGCACATACTGCATGGAGCACTGGGTGTCATATGCAAACAATGAATCATGGGACACTACATCTAAAACTAATGATGTAATGTATGGGGATTAACATAAGAATTAAAAAAAAATAAGATTAAAGAAAAAAGAAATCACACCGTCTGTTTATTTAACACATCGCTCTAGGGGGGCGGCATGCCGTGGCACAGAGCCGCCCGAGTTCCCGAGTTCCTGCCTCCCCGGCGACCTCAGGCACGGCGTCTTGTGTCCTCAGGCCACCTGGTTTGAACCCTGCCGCAGCACTGACCAACGAGCTGTTGGTCAAGTTGCTTAGCCTCCCTATGCTCGTGTCTTCATCCTCCAAGCAAGGCTAGTCCCTAACCAAAGCATTATCATAAAAACTGAACGAATGTTTATAAAGTATTTGAAGAAAGCCTGGCCAACATATGCAAAAAAATAACCCAAGATGGATCAAAGGCGCAAATGTAAGAGCTAAAACTATACAAATCTTAGGAGAAATCATGGGGGTAAGTGTTCATGACCTTGGACTTGGCCATTCTTAGATGTGACACGAAAAGCACAAGAGAAAAAAAAAATCGGTGAATTGGACTTGATCAAAATTAGAAGCCGGTCTAGCTCAGATGTCACCTCCCCCATGAAGCCTCTCCTGATCCCTCCCGACGGAGTGGGTTTTTATAGTGATGACCGTGACAGTGAAAGCAGACACTCTGTCGAGCCCCTGCTCTGTGCTGGGGGCCGCTCTAAGTGCTTCCGATTTGTCAGCTTGCTCGTCACATCCGCCCAGGGTCAGCTTCTGCTGCAATCTCTACGACAGGTGAAGAATCTGAGCCCAGGTCACGTAGCGCACCCCCTGTGCTCCCACGGCCTGTGGCGTGGACCCTCTCGTGTGGCCTGGAACACACTGAGCTGGTACAGTCTGGACCCCCGTTGGCCAGTGTGAGCCTCTGAGGACTGCCTCTCCCCCTCGTGTCCCCGTGTGTCGTCGGACCGGCCGCCATAACTCCTGCAGGGCTGGGGAGCGAGGGAGACAGGCAGGCCTGGGGCCTGGAGTCCCGGAGGACCTTGAACCCCGGACCAGATGTTCAGACTCGGTCCCACAGTTACCAGGAAGAAGCCACTTCAGATTTCAAGGAACAGAATGACATGATAAAGATGGTGCTTTAGGAAAGAGGATCAGGACTTTGGTGTGTGAGATGAATCAGGGGAGGGAATGACGGGAAGCAGGGACACCTGCTCCCTGTGGGTGGCACCGGGGGCATCAGCCCCAGCAGGCGAAGGGAGAAGCCCCCTGCAGGAGGGGAGCTAATGTCTCTGCACCTGGGGGGAGGGGGCACGAGGACTGGGGTGCTGCACATGGGGAAGGCATGGAGACATTCCCAGGGCGCCAGGAACCGCAGCGATGAGCTGCGCGCTGAGCAGGGTTGGAGAGTGGAGGACTCCGCCACTCGCCCGCCCCACTGCCTGCCCTGCCCCTGCCTGCGCCAGTCTTCAGGCACAGAGCCGTGTGGCCCTGGTCTCCGACCCCGGGAGCTCCACCTGCACATCTGGAGGAAAACGGAAAACGTCTCCCAAGCAACACGCACTCTTCCCTACAACGTGTTTCTTTTCATTTTCCTTCCATTAAAAATAAAACCAAGGTGATAAAAGATTTAATATCTATCACAGCACACTTTACTCACTCAAAATATTAATTGGCTGCAGTTCGACTTGATTCAAAAATTTATTATAGGCTTAGAACACATAAAAGAAGTTAAAATTTAGTGATACATCTTTCCCTTAGGCAAACTCACGAGAACAGCTACTGAAGTTAAATTAGGATGTATACTTGTGTCTGGAAGTTTCCAGCTCCCTCCTGGTTGAAGGGAATCCCTGAAGCACCAGGCGCCCTGAGCAGAAAACTGGCACTTGGTACTTTCAGATATGCCGTCGGTGAGAGCCATCCGGGGAAACCGCCTTTTGTGCGTTTTCAGTAAAAAAAAAAAAGTTAGTATTTCCACCCCTTCCTGTGCTGTGCAAAATACCCTCTCTTTGTGGTCTCCTAAATGACACTGACAGTATGTTTTTTAGTCTCTTTAAAAGAAGAACACCTGGTTTGAGTCCTGTGCCTGGCCCACGCGGCTCAGTTTCCGTGGACATGGCCCCGTGGGCACGGAAGGCCATGTGCAGGTGCAGAAACTCCGGGCACAACAGATCAGTACCTCAGAGAGCACGGGCATTCTGTCGGCTCGTTTTTACTTGCAGAGCTTCAGGAGACATTAGGTTTCTCCTGGGCCACGGGTTTATAAATTTGGCTGCACGTTGGAATCACGTGGGATCTTTCTTTAACATTCTGATTCCTGGCTCTCACCCCTCGATACTGATCATTGGGCTGAGCTGATGGACCGGACAGTGGGATTTTTAAGAGCTCCCCGGATCATTCTAGTGGGCACCAGAATTCTAGAGCCACTGACCGAGACCGTCCTCTTCCTCCACGAATGGGTCACCACCACCCAGCGGCTCAGGAACGGCTGTGCCTCGCGTCAGCCCTTCACCCAGACCTGGGTTCACTGAGCGTGGTCAGCAGACCCTCACAGCTGTCCCCTGGCTGGTGTCCCCACCACCCCCTCGTGAGCACCCTCAGATGACGGGGCTAGGCACACGGTGCCCCCCCCCAAGGCCCTGCTGCCTTCTCATCACCAGGAGACTCACATCTAACTGTATTGCTCCCTGCTGCTGGTGGGGTTCCACAAAAGGAGCCAGTCCTGCCGGCCCCTGGCTCCCCCTGCCACCTTGCCCCTGACAGGACAGCCCACGCGGAGCCCCTGTCCACCTCTGCCGACACCCCGTGCCCACCTCGGCTCAGCTCTCCTCCCATCGTGTTTCTTCTGTGCAGCGAGGTTCTCAGCCCATCTCCATCCTACTCTTCACTGAGCCACAGCGTGAAGAGCACTTTCTCGAAACCCCGTCACTTGGCGCGGCATGGGTGACCCTCGAGGACTTTGTGCTGAGTGAAATAAAGTCGCAGGAGGACAGACACCGTGTGATTCCATTTACCCGAGATGCTCCGAGTCACCAGATTCGTGGAGACTGATGGCAGACGCGGGGGGCTCCAGGGGCTGGGGAGGGGTGAGCGTCAGTGTTTCGTGGGGACAGAGGCTCAGCTGGGGACGACAGGAAGGTTCTGGAGACGGTGACAGCGATGGCAGCATCATAGTGTGAATGTGCTCAATGCCACCAGATTATACACTTAACCATGGTTATGGTGGCAAATTTTGCGTCGTGTATATTTTCCCACAATAAAAAAATTTTCCGTCATGTTCTCAGGGAGTCCTTTGACCTAAATTGGGGAATCCTGTTACGTCTTCCTGGAGCTCCCCCTGCCCCCATCCGAACATTTTCCTGGTAAAGTTTGTCTTCTTTCCCGGACTGTAAGGAGAACGAAAGCACATTATATGTCCCACCCCATTAATCATGGCACCTTAGAGGAGGTGCCACTAAGTAATCGTAATGACTGTTGAATGAATAAATGCCAGGTTCCCGGTGTTTCCTCCCCCCTCCCTCCAACGGAATTGCTAGGAACAGTGCAATAATGGAAAACAGTCATTGCGGTTTGAGTGGAAGTGCCTAAAGTATGAGACCGCACATTGTCCCGCCCTGGGGCAAACTGTGTGAAGTAGGGATGGGGGAGATGTAGGGGTACGTGGGTGAGCCCCAGGTGATCCCGACACTGGCTTTGTTCTATCAGAGAAATGCAGCAGGCCAAAGCAAACCACACCACCGACTTCAGATTTCTTAAGAGCACCGTATTTAGAACCATGTCCCGGGTTAACACGGTGTTTTCTCTCCTCCCAATTAGATATTTATCTTCGAAAACAATATCTACTACTGCGCGCACGTCGGGAAGCAGGCCATCCGCGTGGTCTCGACTGGGAAGGAGGGCGTGATCTACAACGGCCTCAGCGACTGGCTGTATGAAGGTGAGCCGCACGGTGGGCTGGACAGCTCTGTGGGCCCTGCAGCCGCAAGACCGGCGGTGATGGTGGCTGTCGCCTTTGACCTCCGCTGTAAGTTTACCTCCCATTTCTTGAGGTTCCGCCAGGCTGCAAAGACGCTGTTGGGGCGTCAGGGAGCATCAGGCCGTCAGTGGGAGCCCTCACCTGGAGGCCAGGTGCGCAGAGCTTTCCAGAACCCAAACTCCTGGCGGAAGGGGCAGGAGGCACTGTTCTGGGAGGTCCGCGAATACCGAGGTTTCCCGAGCCCCTCCCCAAGAGGTAGGGTGTCTTGTTTTGCCTGGGGGTGGAGGGAGAGCTGGAGAAGAAATAACGGGCAGAGCTTTCCGAAGAAGCTGGTCCGGGTGATTTGCTGTTTCGAGGACATGCGCCCGGGTGCACGTTTTCTCCTGCTGGCTTTCCTCTGTGCCAGAGTTCTCCGCTGGAATGCATTATTAAATAACTAAAAATGTGAGCGGGAGGCTCTCTTCTTGAACATTTATAATCTGTCTCCACACAGATGAGACTTCTGTCTTAACAGCAACGATCATGTATTGATCGCTATCGCGTTCTGGTCACTGTTCTGAGCACTTTCTTATCTGTAGCCTCATCTAACTGTCCGTCCGAGGCAGCTCTAAAGGGCACTGTAGACCGGGGGCTTAAACAACAAGCATTTACTCCTCACAGTTCTGGGGGCTGCAAGTCCAAGATCAGGGCGCCGGCTGATCCGGTGTCTGTCTAGGACCCACCTCATAGACAGTGTCTTCACTGCACCCGCACACGGCAGAGAGGGGGAGAGAGAGAGCTGGTCTCCTCATCCCCTTATCAGGGCACTGATCCCACCATGGGGGCTCCCCCCTCATGATCTCATCCCCTCCCAAAGACCCCACCTCCTAACACCATCCTACTGGGGACTCAGGCTTCAACGTGAATTCTCGGGGACGCATTCAGCCCATAGTCCCCTCACAACAACATGATGACAGGAGTATCATTGACATTTCCCACATGAGGCAAGAGAAGCTTAAGTGATCTGCCAAAGTTCACACAAAGCTAAGGAACATGTCTTGGGGAGTATCATTGTTCAAGTCCAGGAAAATTCCTTTCTACAAATCCAGGTGTGGATCAGGATGCTTCTGCATCAGCATTGGGCCAATAAACAGATGATGTCTTCTGCACCTACCTGCCTGAGACCATGTGGGGACAGTTCACCATGCTAGGCCAAGGGGAGGTCAAGGAATTATCAAGCCCAGAAAACACCGCTTTTCCTCAGTGCTGTGCATTCCTCAAGCCAGGACTCTGCACTGTGGGGCTTTATGCACCAACGGGCCTACAGCAGAGAGATCCATAAGCTTATTATCAGTTACCATCATCATTTCACTGAGGTCTCCAAAGCATAAAAATCTATGACTTGATTTCTTTATAAGTTGTATACAACGAAATGCACAATCATCAGGACACAGTTTGGTATGAGTTTGACAGATGTCTGTACCGTGCACCCCAATCAAGACATCGAGTATCCCATCATCCCAGAAAGTTGTCCTGAGCCCCTTCCTGTTCCATCCCCGCCCCCGAGTCTCCCTTCCTGATACCACGGCCAACCTGATTTCTGTAGGGCCTGTTTTCCAGCAGACATGCCAGAATGGGGGTGCCCATCAGGGCTGTCCTCTCCAGGGAGGTCACCCCTCCAAGGGGTTTATTCTAACGTGGGACTGGCAAGGCTCAGAGCACTTAGGATTCCAGATTTTGAGTTGCTTTCTGGGCCCCAGGAGAATCAACCTGAAGATTTTTTTGCTATATTGTCCTTGGCCCCACCTGAGGGTGTCACTGGAATGCAAAGGAAACTGGCCAGTGTCCACTCTGGTCATGTGCACAGCCAGGCCCATGAGCGGCTGGCCCCAAGTCCCAGAGAGGTCAGTGCAGTAGCAACCCGAAGGCCCCCCCAAAAAAGGAAAGATCCTGGGGTCCTGGCAGTTAAAGCCTAGACAGCTCTAGGATTAATCTCCTTAAAAAAAATAAATCCATAACCAGAAGATTTAAAATATCTTTTTTAATATCTTCCTAATAAAATAAAAAACTCATCGCTTGGCAATTCAAGTTAAGCTTTTGCTTTAGCAAATCCATTGAAAGGAAATTTTTCTTCAAGGCATTTACACGAAATTGTGTTGGTGTGATAACAGAGCCCCAAATATTTTAAATCAATCACAGCTGATGCGGCAGCTTCATCCACTTAGTGGTGTTTCCTGGAAGGTTATAGACGCTGATGCTTAGATTTCTCAAGTTGGGGGACTGCGAGCCCCAGGAATCTTGGTTCCTGTGTGAATAATGGGTGAACTTTGAAGATTGTCTTTTTCTAATCTGTGACTTAACTGTTTCACTTCCAGACACCACTTCTAAAAAAAAAAAAATTGAAAAAATATCGGGGTGGGGAACACCCTAGAAGTGTTTGCAGAGGGCCTGACATGCTTGGAATTGTGAGCTCCAAGAAGATACGAGACTGGGTCAGCGGGGAGAGACTCTGCCGTTCGTGGACTCAGAATATCGAATGCAATATCGATTTGCTTTGTTTCCCGAAAGGGGTCTTAACGCATTGGACCTTTCAGAATGCTGACATCAGGCTGAGGGCGAGACGAGGTGGGAAACATGGGGGCTGCTGGGAGCCTGAGCTCCTTGAGCAGAGGTGTGCACCCACCCTGTGGGAAAATCTGTCCAGTTAACCGAAGTGACCCACCCGTTGGCTGGAAACAGCTCTGCGTACCTCTCCGATTTGCTGAGTCCTCAGCTCATGGTGGCCACCGACTGATTTTGATAAGCAAAATGCAATCTTTGTTTTATTATTCTGGGCGAATGTCATGCAGTGACACAGAATTTTGACCTTAGTATAAGATTTAAAACTCCTTCATACTGGCTATGTGAAGTGAAAATGAAGATATTCCTGGGGTTTTTTGAGAACTCCAATCCTGGGCCCTGTTAAGAATTCACACTCTGATGCAGGTTTATATTACTGTTTGTAGTGTTTCCATCTCCCGCATCACCAGCATGCACACGGGGAACGTTGGTACAGCACAGGATTGGTGGCGTGTGGTTTTCTAACGAGACTTGAAGTCGTCCAGTGCGTCAGCCCAGCTGTGAGACATCCACACTTCTGCTATCTCAGCAGTCATCTGCATGCTCCAAGATAAATACCATTATTCACGGACGTGCCCTTGTCATGAAATGGCTTGTACCCCAGGGAAAGTGGGAGGTGTCGGGGTCACTTGAGAACCAGGTCTTCCCCCACATAGAGAAGCCCTTATTCCCTCAACTCCTCTGAGACGCTGACGGGTGCGAGAGGGCGGTGAACTTGGGGCACAGCCTGGGATCATCGGGCTGGGATGATGGACAGAGCTGAGAAAGTGGCCTGAAGGGTATTTATTTAATTTGTGGTTTGGTGTGGATGTAATCCCAGGGTTGAATTTTAACCTGAACTAGTCCAGAGCTTAAAGGTACTTGGAAGATGTGGCCAGATCCGAGGACCCTGCGTGGCCAGGCAGCCTTGCCCCGTGGAAGTCAGCAGGAATAATGCTTAGTAGGGCCCTCAGCTAGCTTCCCTTGTGTGCATTGCTCTAGCTTGGTTTCAGGATCCATCCAGTCAGGCGATGCCTGAGCTACAGTGCCCAGATTTCGAGAAAAGTCCATGAAAGTCCATGCAGACCACGACGCCTTCTGCTGTGCCCATGCCTGGTGCCCACTTCCGTTTCCTGTAGCCCCGGTGCTCCCACCTGCTCCCCAGGGTCACGGCCCTCATGGCACTCGGCCCTCTGTCCACGTACCCAGGACCCCCAGATCCCTGTCTGCCATGCCCTGGGCTGACTGTGCCCAGCCGAGGGCTGGTGTGGAGCAGGTGCGGAAGTGGCCAGGCTGGCCAGCGAGGCCCCTTTCCCACAGCTGCCGTGGACAGAGGTATGTTAGCACGTCCCGAGTTGGAGCCCAGAATGCTCTAGAAACACCGTTCTCACTGTGGTCAGGCCTGCTGTGAAATCAGGTAGGGTTTTGCTAGGCTGGCTCGTTCTGTGCTGCCCACTTACGTTGAAGCCTGGTCATGCGGTCCTTACGTGCCCGGTTCAGCCTTGCGTCCAGAGGCTGCAAGACCAGGCAAGTCTCAGGCCTGTTTTGCAGTTCTTGACGCTGTTTCCTAGAACATCTTGTCCGGGGTCAGCACTGATGACCTGGCAGCTTTTTATCCCAGTGAGGTGCTCTGAGCAACATCAACAAAGGGTCCGGCGGGGCCCCAGGTGGATAAATCAGTTACCTCATGATTCGTGGTTTTGCTGTGATTCCATGCCTTACAGTTCTGATTATTCAAAGGACGTTGATGGGGAAAGGCTTCCGTGGGAAGAGATGTCATCATGGGCGAAGGCATTTGTGGAGATCTGTGGGATGGCTTAGTGTGCACTTTCCACAGGGAGGGCTCTTTCCTGTTCATCCCCATCACACCAGACTTTCTCCGTTGCATGAGATCGAAACAAAGCTCTCAAGTCATATTTACCGTGGAACACGCATATTGACGTCAGTTTAAAATCATGGTTTATTAAGTACTTGGATGCTGTGTCTGCTTTACTGCACGTTGATGTTCGGTGTGTCCGGCGCCCACTCGGCACAGGTCGCAAGCAGACCAAGCCACCTGGGACCTTGGTTTTAGGATCATGGTGACAGTCTGTCTTGTGGGGCACAGCCCCAGCCTTGGACTGTGTGAGGGAGCTGGGGGATATATCGTACATCATTGTACCGGTGAGAAGGTGCTTCCAGCACTTCTGAAGCTATTTTTTAAACTTCCTGACATACATTTAGATAATGATATTTTGCACATCGTATGGAGACACTGTGGCGTGTAGACTCTTGATGGGCTTCTTTCATATTAACCATCTCTGAAGTACCTGGTTAGGGCATTTCAGTTGCTCGAAAACTGCCCTGGTGGTGGGTTGAAGTGAATTTATGTACCCATCGTACAT